GTACCGATGACAACCACCTACACACCCCAACTATCTATCGTAATAAACCTACTCGTGCCTGGGCGAGCACTTGTGACGACTTGGGAGTTTACGGTAGCGGTCTTGCTGAATATCGGTGGGCATGTGGGGTGATATTAAAGATGCGGGTTAGCAGATGGCGGATTGGGTTGAGATAAATTCTCTTGTTTCCTTTGGGGGGAATGCGCTGGTATAGTTGAATTACATTGGTGTTTAACGCGTTCTTTGCCTGGGGTCATTCAGGTATTGTGGATGTCGTGGGAATGAGAAAATAACAGACTAATAGTTGAGAGAAAAATGAGCTTGGTTGGGTAGGGGTTGGAATGGCGTGCGGTGTTATAAATGAAGATTTCGACTAGGAACTTCCTTTTCATGTTTGTTTTCTATCTCGAAGTTCCTGAATTTGTTAGTGTGGTAGCGAAAAGTGTTATTTGAATATTGCATGAGTGGCTATGTGCGAGTGGCTTGTCATGGCACCAACATGTCTTTTACATCCATCATATAGATCTGCTTGTTTTTGCCACATACTGAAAAGACATGGATATTACTGAAAGAGAGCAGCAGACGAGGACGTAGGTACATGCCACGCGTGCAAGCCTTGGGATGTTTGCCATAACTAGAAACTGCTATCACATGATTTCCATATTCTTGTCACGTAAACATGCACATCTCATCAGCAAGGATTTCCACAGCCTCAAACACACATGGACATACGGCGAAGTTGAGATGCTGTACAATGATATAAACCCCACTGACTTTTCTCCTTGTCCTTCTTCTCATACCCTCGTGTCTGAAACACGTGTTATAGTTTCATCAAGACACCAGCAACTATGACCTCTGTGTCGCGAGTTCCTCGACACACATGCCATCTCTCGCACGACTTGTTTGGCTTGGGTGTGTGCTGAAAACGTATGGATATTCTGGCCATGTGATTGTGTCGAGTCTTGTCAAGGAGAAAATGGTTGTGGGAAAATTGACTGCTGGGGGATATCAATTCTAGCAAAGACATGGTTTCTTTCTCGAGTCGTGTTTAGATATTAAAGGTACCTTTTGCCCATGAGCCCGTCGTTTCCCGTCAAGATTGAAGACACAAAAATTTGGTGGCAGACATGCGGATGATTGGAATTCGCTTTCCAGTTTTACAAAGTGCTGATAATCCTAGGTATGTTTCACATTCAGACATGCAGAGCATGAGTATAGCTCTACATACGGACGAGCGTGGTATAGACTGTATAATAGAGTAAGAATCGATGTTGTGTGTCATGGATGATGGGTTTCGATTCAGTGTGCATATAATTCCCATGTGGGTTTTGACGCAAAATTTGGGTAATGCCATAGTCTTGTATTTCGGGTCTGGATGTTAGATAGCTATAGAGCCGTGCTTATGGAAAAGAAAGGCAGATGTGGTTCACTGCTGCGCGTTCTATACTTTTGCACTAATTCTTCCATAATGCGATATCGATACTAGACATCTACCTTGTCGTTCCTCTTAAATTGCATTTCAGAGACGGATGATTTTTTGAATGTGTATAGAACAGCCTGTTTATTTTTACAAACTAGTATCTTTGACACGGAGAACATGTACAGTTACCACATTGAGCACTACGGTACAAAACCGGTTTACAGTAGCTATATTTATCTAAAGTAGACTAAGAAGTGGTTTAGGTAGAAGAAGTAAACCTAAATAGGGTTTATTATACTATATATTCTATAAAAGTAAACTACTTATATTTCTACTTCTATTAATCTACTAGTATTACGTAGTAATACCTAGTTTCCTACTATTTAAGTATTTTACCCCTCCTTTCTTTAATCTTCTTCACCACCTCCACCACCTCCACCACCTCTACTACCTCCACCACCTCTATTATCACCACCTCTACTACCTACACTACCACCTCTATCACCACCCCCTATTAGTAAAAATATTATAACTTATTATTATATTATATATGCGTATAGCGTAAAGCTAATCTTCTCTACCCCTTTTAGTCTTAGTTAGGTATTATAGTGTATAATAGAAATAAAACTACTTTTTATACTTAATTTAAACCCCTACTATAAAAATAAACTACTACTTTAATAAAAGTAAACTACTATTTTAAACCTATTTATAGGTATATATAAGGGCAGTTTACACCTATATAGTAAACCCCTAGCGTACTATTCTACTGTAAACAATTTTGTACCGTAGTGTTATACTGTGATAGGATTTGGCGAACGTCAGATTGAGTAGAACCCCTTGGCGGCGCTGAAAATCCCTAATGAATATCTACGTCAGATATACCAGGTTGATCGCAGTCATTGCAAAGGTAACACAGGGCTATACCCGTTCCACAATCCCGGAAGAAGTCTCTAGCAGGAGCCTCGTGACCTTCAACAATACAATTGAGCAAGTATGCCATCTTATTAGTTTCGAGATTACTCTTGTTAACACAATAGTCACACGTCTTGCCCTGATGGTGTTGAGAGTTGACATGATTAGTAGGCTAAGCATGTCGATTAGCTCGAGGGAATGTACACCAAACATAAGTGAAGTATGGTTTCTCAGTTGGAGACAGCGATAGAGACGGAGATCGAGATAATGACCGAATAGAATCACGACGTCCACGTCCACGATATGTTGATGCATTACTGGAACATCCAAGTACTGGAGTTGCAGGCGGATTGTATGGCGTAAACCCAGAGGCGCATCTAATTGACTAGTTGCAAGAGCCGACGACAATGGACTTGACAAAGTGGCAGGAGCAAGTCGTGGCCTTATCTGTGAGGTATTTGGGGTAGGTGATACTTCTTCTCCTGCCCTCTCCCGATATCGATGATCACGACGTATATTGTCCCGCTCCCGTCTAGCTGCTGCTGTCTTTTGGGTGTCACCGCTATATTGCCCGCGCCTGAAATACTGTGGTACTTCAGAACTACTTTCCGATGTACGTGTACTGGGACCGAATGCGAGTTGAGGAGGAGCCGCAGGGGTAGGAAAATGTACAGTAAGCGTTGGCGGTAGTGATGGCGTTGATACTGGGGGCGTTAACAACGGAGTATACGGGATAGGCAAGATTGTACGGGGCTGCTTCCGCCTCTGAGAGCTATGGAAATCGCGAGGTATGTGACTTGGGATACCTGGTTCAACAGATAATCTAATAGTAAGATCCCCAAGCTTTCGACGCTTCTAAGTACAGTTAGCTAACACAGGTAATACAAAGGATACTGTTCACTTACCATAGCCCCCTCATGGTTCTTTGTGCGACATTCAAGACAACGTGTATAGCCAGCAGTAATTTCTTCAACTGTAAGCTCCCTCGCTGGATGACGGGTGCAAGTAACACGCTGGGAGGATGTAGGAATCTGAGACGGTGAAGGTCCTGGAGGTGGTGGAGGCGGAGCGCCTGCATTGGCTGTAACATTTGCCATATTGCGCATGTACTGTATGCAACGTAATAGAGAAAGAAGGATTAGTTATGGTATGGTAAAGAAGCTACAACGCTAGATCTAGAAACTGCAGGCGAACTGTTTACATCGCGTTTGCTTGTGCACGGCTTTTTTCTTAACGCGCGGACTACACCAAAAGAATTAACAGTATTAGTAAAGGGAATGGCAAGAGTTGCAATATTTACTAGATAGCAATCACAAACAATCACGAAGCAATCACGATAATAAGATCCTTTATTGCACCACAAGTTTATGTGGTTTACATCAACGGGCCCTCCCAGGTGATCCTTTGTCTAGCCACTAGCTTCGACTTATCGCAGAGCCTCCGGGGTATAAGGACACCGCCTAAGTCTAACAGTAGCCAGGACGCCGGATTGTAGGACTCTTTGACAACCTTAAACCATTACTGGTAGTTCTAATAGATCTGCCAGAGCAGCCTAAAACCCAATTTCCCTCAGTAACGAACAATGTATAGTATAATCCTCAGTAACCACGATATAGATTTGTAGGACTCTTTGATAACTTTGAACCATTGCTGGTAGTTATCGTAGATCTGCTAGAGCAGCCCACAACCTAATCTACTACGCAGCAATGAACAATTTCAGGTGGCACCAACACCTGCAAACTTTCCGGGGAGTCACTCGGCCTGTAGAGGCCTTATCTCGGAGCGCATCCCTACATCCACATACTCGATTGGCGACACGTTCGTGGGGCTCTTCTACATCGAAAACAACGTAGCGATCCCAGAGCTTGTATAGAACAGTCTCGACGATGATACTGTACATGACTAACTCAACCGTCCTTACGGTACATGAGCCGACGAAAGATCCCGCCCGAAGATGACGTCCCCAACAAAAAATGACAAGCAATTCACTCTCCGAGCGTGTCAGCCTGAACAACGATCCCTCGTGTATCGGACAAACGGAAGCTTATCACCCAAACTCAAATGGATTCTCAGAGTCCAAGGAAAATGTCCACGCGTTGATGCACTGGAGCTGTGGAGCGCGGGTATCGATGCCGACGGCGTTGGAGATTTTTGCTTACACCCCCACAACATGACGTGCTGCTTTCTGCTAACCACCCCACGGGATATGAGGTGCGAAGGCATACACAGCCGCGCAGATAACCGGGTGTGCACTGTGTGGCTTCTCAATTACCAGCAAGCCTGTGCAGCATCTACAAAAACAATCCTTTCAACGTGCGGCCTGGCGACGGGTATCTGAATGAGGAATTCTAGGATTTACTCAAGCAGATATACTCCACAGATTGGGGATAAAGTTGGCCGGGCGCCTTTCCCTGCCGCAAAGTTGATGGAGACAATTGGGGTGGAGGAGCGACCAGCTGCGGTGGAGGAAGAAGCACAATTTGGCGCTTGTAGAGTACTTGCTTTTTTTTTACAACAGTATGCTTTCGTATACTTCAGTATACTTCTCTTCCCAGTGAACTTGATGAGCAACTCGATAAGATTCTATCGCCTTAGTAATGCGCTGTGAAAGTCCGTCAAGACACGCAAGAACTGAAAGCACATCAGCGCCTACTCAATGTCGGGTATTCATAAGATTCGTATAACAAGACCGAATCTCACCGGGTGTGTTGGTGTTGAGTCGGCAGCATCCAAAGCCAGCCTTGACCACATCCTCTCAACGTTCCGACTCCGCGCTCAAAACTCTAGTTTCCAGAGTGCTATTCCGAAACAACCATGATTCTATGGTGCACGACTCTGTAAAGGCCATTTCTTGCATGCATGACTCCTGGGAGAGCTCGTGTTCTGACTCGTCGGGCTTGCTCGCGGGCTTGTTGTATGTTGTTTCTGACGCACGCACCTCCAAAACACAAGCCGCTAGCAACGTTATTAGCACGACACTGCCCCAGCCTAGACAAGAAAAGCCAATTAAGCCATTATGTAACCGCATACTTCTACCATACTGTTGATGATCTATTGTTCTTTGTCACTTCTAGCGTGTTGGGAGTTTATAGATGACTATGTGCATGTCTCGAAAGACTTCGTAGTTCAGCGAAATGTAGTAAGAATTTAATGACTTTGCAATCCAAAGATGATTCATGTTGTTCATCCTTTAATTATCCTGGCTCTCGGATGAAGAACAGTAGCGTGGGACTGCCGCGCCTCCCGTGTGGAGGCCCGATTCTTAAACACTCCGGTGACCGATGCCATCGTAGCCAAGTCTGATTACCCAATGCTGCGGGGGTGCGCCATGAGAAGGTTCACCTGAAGCAAGAAATACTCCACTCTTTGAACTCACTCCCAGCGGTTTAGCGTCTTTTTTATCTTCACCCTCTCTCAACCCAAACTGCCGCGACCCTGACCAGTGATCATAGCATAGACACCATGATGATCAGCTGTCAACGAAATCGTTTGTAACCTGCACGGCCCACTAGCTGAATGAGACATGCATTTTATCTTTCACAGATTTAGAAAACGTTGTGTTAGGAGTCGCAGAAATGAGGATCCTACAAGTAACAACATTGTAATAGCAGCCACAGTGACCTTGGAACCAGCATCCCATTTGGCTTGACGCACTACCTCAGCAGAAGATGCGGCGATTTGCATACTCATGCAGGACAAATGTTACAGTCGGAAGAGGAAATCTACAGCGACTGATTCGGTCTTGGTCGACTGAGGTCCAGCGGATGTCGGAGGAACATAACAAATGTGAGGAATAGCTGACTATGTATGGATCATGCTGTGTAATTACAGTATTTTCCACATGGCTGGACCATGCCCCGGAAAGCCTATTCCACGCTGTCATTGCTTCAGAGTCCATACAGACATCTGCAAGCAATGCATTAAGGAAGAAGTCGTGATATGCAAGTTCTAGTTTTTTTACAAGAACAGCTTTAAGCATTATTCAAATTGCCCTAACTCACGCAGGAGAAATTACACAAATCTGTAGTCAATGTTGTAGTACGTACAAGATGAACGCAGCTGACACATGTGTCCATACTACCACTGTACTGATATACCACAAATCGTTTTGCAGCTCGATTACTAAAAAGCCTAAGATCTCTATCTTGGCTCTTGAGCAACACATTGATTATACATATTCACCCAGGAGCATTGCTTAGTGAGGACATTGGTAAGCAGAGCTTTCCAGTAACCAGCTTTACAAAGCGTCTAGACAGTCTTAGGGTCTCATTTGGAAGGCCGGATCGCAAAACCGGCAAACAGATCTAGAGTATTCACAAAGCTGGATAACGCCATGTATGCGAAAGTTATGCTAAGCAACTTAGTGTGAGCACATCACATCGGCAATAAAGGTCCCTTTGATGCCGATAATATCGTATGTCAAGCTACCAATTGTTGGTAGAATGTCTACTTGACAAAAGTAATATTGTTTTTGGAGGTCAAATTCCAGATCTTCACTGTTCAAATTATCTTGCCATCTATCGGGTTTAGTTAGCCACAAGGCCTTCACTTCCTAGGTACTCAAGTGCAATCGAGACTGTGCCTTCGCCTGTCTGTATGCTACTGCCGACATTCTGCTCATTTGCCGTTGGACTGTGCATATCCTCGGCGATGGACGAGTCACCTTTAATAGCTGGACGATTCATGATGTCTAGGTCGAAGGCTGTAGTCGTGTTACTCGTGTACCACTGTTTTTCACTGGTGTTAGGAAAGTAGTGCCAACCGATGCCAAGTTAGCGCGAGGCTGCTGATCAACATCCTTCCGCGAGGGCCGCAGCCTGTGGGCATAGTGAGACATGTCGGTTCTACCATGTTGAATGTTTACCATACCAGATATGGTAATCTGAGTGATTCCATCGATCGAGGATGAAGTGTTATCTAGGAACAATACTGCAGGTATGCTGACTCGTTCCTAAGGGCCAGCACCTCGGGCCGTGGACGAAGGGAAGGTCCGAGTGCTATCCGGATCAGGCCTAGCCATGTACCTTGGGGTGAAACCTCCCGACTTCAATAATCAATTCTGTTCGTTTCACGTTACTATAGCACGTCAATTATTAGGCAATGTGGTATCTCTCCTCCGCTGTCTACTTCCAATCTGTAATGAATGGGCACCGAGAGTACCTCTCATACACATTTCACAGTATTCACTATGCAAGGAGCATTCAGTTCTGCCCAACAATTGTATCCAGATATCGGTGCCTCTGCGGCCGCAGTGTCGTTTCCTTTTGTTCTTGCGTTAAACAGAGTTCTCGACCACGAGGGCCTCGTCCACACGGAAGGTTTCATCACTGCCGCTGGTCCATCCTTCCATGGCAATGATGTACGACGAATTCTCGTTTGGGTATAGCTACAGTAACGTGATTACTGAAACCGAGCATTTGGTAATGTAACTAGATGGCTTGGATCTTGACGCATCTAAGTGAATCCCCCTTCCAAGAACTTCCCTGGCCACTAGCGTGAATAAACCTTGGTTCATCCGCTGTGCCATAGTAGGGATGGTTGGGCCGGCAGAGCCGCCCTCGTGGGGTAAATCTAACATCCGAGGCGTTCCTGCTTGATACAACTGATTATTTGTCCGTGTGTTGATTTTGGCAACGCGATCGTCGGCATCTGCTTTGTGAACCTTCTCCGTACCATCATTATGAAAGCGAGCCCACCAGTAGGTATTCTTTGTCATTTGTGTCTGAAGTTGCGTTCATCGTAGAGATTGCTCTTTTCTAGTATCAAGTAAAGGCTACTCCATTATTTGTTTCAAATATTCTGCAACACGGCCACTATTGTGCATTAACTACGATGCCCCATTGCAGTAAAGGTGACCTTGTGGTGGCTCCCATCAGTCAATTGCTTGGACTAGCACTTGGCGGCTTGGAACAGCGCGTAACCGAAGTTGTCTTCGAGATTGTACAAAGGCCGTGCCCAAGACCGAAATCGAGATAGCGTAGATGTACCAGTGACCTGGTGAGTGCCATGTACGCTAGCTTTGCTCGGGCCGTTTATCGTCACTAATTTAAGGTAGACTGTAGGCAGGTAAGATCTACGGCTGCTCCCGCAGCGTAGTAATCTTACAGAGATACAACCTGCCGTTAGTTCAGTAATGGGGTATGCTCACAGAAACACTGTTATCACCAGTTTATTTGATAACCTTCTATGAGAGGCAGCATGACATTACGGCGACAACATTTTATGTGAAACGTGCTAAATACGCTTCAGGCGCATCATGCAGCCGGCCCGCTCCATCTTGGCAAATGTTCATTTGTAAACATGAGACTGCGGTACAGGACCGTTGCAAGTCAGTTCGCATGCCTGCTAGTTCCCGTGTTTAGTCTGCATCGTATGAAAGATACACCGAGCGTTTGGTGTTGCAAAGAATCGGAGGAAAGGTCCGGTCGAACTTGGTACGATTGGAAAAAGTAGCAGGTACCTTTGGTACGTACACTGGCGTACAAAGGTCTTGTCGTCGGATGTACATAGCCCTCAAAAAAACATGTTAGTTGGGGACATCTGGATAGCGCCAACTTGCCCATGATATGATTTGAACGTACAGCTTTGCAACATGGGTTCCTCGCGTTGTCCTCGGAGAATACGTGAAGAACTCTTCATGAAGACAGTCCGAGGTGCCATATGTGTTCGATCTACTATGCAAGTGACGATGCAGTGCTCCATGAGAACATTATCCATGTTATTTTACTACCCGGATCATCGGCTGTGCCGAGGTCGGCCTGCCGTCGGAAAGTGGCTTGGTATAGAAATCACCTGTTTAACCTTAGTAAGATAGCTAGAAACAGGAATTGGCCCGAGTTTGATCTTCATGAGTTAAGCAATTCCTATCAGTAGTTACAAGTCCAAGCTAGCCAATGTTTATACCAAGGCACCGAATATGTTCGATCTGACCATATGGCGAGATGGTCATTCATGCACAGCCTGTGTGGTCTACGTCAGGATACACTTGACCAAGTCTACATCACAGAACTCGACTCAGAACCGATGTGCCCGGATGTACCCCGATGTACCACAGTTCTTGGTGAGAATGCAACCACCATGTTCCGAAACGAATACCGTAGAGAAAGGGTACGATCTGGCTTGGAATGTGACGTGTGCCATTCTTGGAGGTATCGGTACCATCGCAACGATGCCCGTTCGTCAAGTCAAGAGACTGATGAAACTCAGGTATAAAGGTCAAGCTCGAGACTGCCGATTGAGACATCACTTCATTAGCAACTCACTCCTCTACAACAATCACTTCTTCAGTAATCTACTACTTTCTCAATCTTCCCCCCGTCCTCCCAATCACTTCAACTTCAAAATGTACTCCACTGTCATCCTCAGCGCTCTACTCGGCATTGCCGCCTCCATGCCCTTGACCGCACGTCAAGCCACCAACGAACTCATTGAGCTTCCTATCTATCTCATGGGCCAGGCTCAGGATGGTGTTCAAAGCCTCACAGCCTCTCTTGAGCGCGAGGGAGACCGTGAGATCGTCCACCTGAATGATATCCCCATTCCCGCTTTCGAAATCACCAGCGAGATGCTTGAGGAGGGATTTGACCTTGATGTTAAGGGCGACATCATGGGTGTTCCGATCAGGTTTCCCCTTCATCTCTTTGCCAAGGAGAACGGCCAGAACATCACCAAGCGCCAGAACGAGCTCAACTTTGGCCCATTTTCTATTCGCGGCTTGGACTTTAACATGGACGGTGTCCCCGGTGACTTGAACGTGGATCCCAGCAAGCCGCTTGGTGACCTCACATTCTCCATCGATTCAATCAACGTGAACCAGAACCAGAAGCGCCAGGTCAATTTTTGGGATGAAGTCATCGACATTGGTGTTCAAATCGACGACATCAACATCAACACCCGCCGAAGCGTTGCTGAGGTCGAGAAGCGTCAAACTGATATCAGCTTCTTCGGCGGCAGGGTCGAGCTCACTGATTTCGAAGTGGATGTCAGCGTTGGTGGGCAGCCCATCGTCATTCCCCGCCGCCGCTAGAAAATAGTCAAGGGCCATCCGAACTGGCAAGATTAGCGAACAAGAATTCGGCTGCGACGGAAGCTTACTTGAAATGGGCTTGTACTGTACAATAGGCCCAATGTCACGATAGCGCTGTTCCTTTTCCTCTCCATGTTTTCATGTTTCATGTTACTAATGTTTGCGGTTCATTTCTTTTCTAATGTATAGCGGGGAAAATGAATGGGAATGGCAAGAATCTAGGTCCAGATATAGACGTCCTCAAGGCCAAGGTTCACGATCAATGCAAGCAACTACTGTTCGATATTACGCTCTGAAATGTGAGAATCCTGAAAAACTGAGGACACGAAGACCTAATATGCAGATAGCGTGATGCAAGTCATAAGGCCCCCAGCCTCTCCCAGTTTACAGGTATCATCCAATTCACCCAGACATACAGAAATCACGGTCTGAATCAAAACTCCATACTAGGACAGGCTTATCTTCAGCAAAGATTGTAATGTTCTGTATATGTATCATGTGACCAAAAAAGTCGAACTTTTTATACTACACCCTGCTGCCGACTTGCGGGACCCATTCCTTGAAGATCCTTTTTCTACGCTGACAACAGTGCTTCGAGGTTGGAGATGCATCAACATTGTACCTCAAACTACCTGCTCTTTTACAAAAGCAATTTCTTCGGCCTTAAGAGTTTTCCAGACTCCAGTACCATCCAAATTTAAAGGATTGTAAGATAAAGCAAGGCTATCAAAATGCAGATTTTTGATTGACGATACGACAGGGCGACTTCTACCGGTACAACGGACCAGGGTTTACCTATCTGGTGCACAAGACACCCTTGGCGAAAAAACAGCAGCCTTCTTCATGCCGAAGAAGAGGCATAACACAATAGCGATAGCAAATTCCAGCACAATGCGGCTTTCAAACCCAAAGTTTTATCTGGATGCCAGCTCAAAGGCAAATCATTCGATACACCATCCCCTAACCAGGAGGCTCTATCCCTACAATCCCCCAATCCCCACTGCCACGAACCCCATCAACTACATGAAAAGAAGAACAAGTGAATGCTTCAAATTCATCTATACAAAACTATCTCTCCCCTGTCCCGGACACGGCCGCGGCTCCCCAACTCTTCCGTCTAATCCTCCAACGCCACTGTTCCGGATTTGCCTCCCGTCAGCTGGCTCAACCAGTCGAGAAAGTAACGGCACCCAGGACCGCAGCGAGTAATACTACTTCGCTGTATCAGGATCGTAGATCTCCGCGTAAGCCATGGTATGTAGCAAGAGAGAGACACTATCTGTTGACGAGATGAAGTGTTCCAAATCGCCGTTTATGATTGCGGCTAGGAGGCCGGGCTACGGAGGGACTTGTTGGGGGGTTCCTAGGCCTCGGAGGAGTTTGGCTACGTCGTGGGGGTTGTGACTGTACAAGGGGATGGTAATAGGTCGGGATCTTCGACGATAGGCGTTTGTCGCGGGTGTGGTGGCTGATGATGCGTTCCTTGCGGTTGAAGGTGTAGTAGCTGCTGACCATGCCCTTGAGGATATACGCATGGAAGCTGACAACCTTGCCCTTGCGGGCATAGGGACATTAGATGATCCCGAGGACTTCAGATCTATCGACGTCTCATTAGGTAATTCCACATTCATGGATGGTTCCTCCAATAATTCTCTCATTCTAGTATCAATATGCGCTAACGCCGCGGTAATCTGATTGGCGGAGTTGGGTCTTGCAGCTGCAGCTTCGCGTTGGTTTTCGGCAACAGGTTCTCCTGGACGTAATGATGCAGCTGTGATGTGATGAAAGTATTGATTGAGGAATCTATGGAAGAGCCCGAAGGTGGCTATATCTACTCGACCCACTAGTCTCCATTAGGACGTATCCCGGTCAACCCCCGGGATAGGGGAGTCACTAATAGTGGCAAGGGAGTTACCACTATATCAAATAGTAGGTGCTATGGATGATATAGAAACAACAAGTTGATGGGCGACTAAAAAGGGTTCTTCTGTTTAGAGAATTGCCAGACTGTGATGGAGAGCACGAATGTGTAGGATCGATAGCATTGCTCGCAAGGGATCCTTCTCGTAGTACGGCATTTGCGCTTCTCTGGCTGCGGTTTTCCCTGGCGGTTCTACTTGAACTCGACGGTACCGATACTGTTATTGCATCGTCCGCAGCTGTGACAGGAGCTAGTGGAACCATGGGTATGCGATTTGGCCTGTCCTCCTCGGGTATGTCATGAGCATCATGCATTTGCAGCCCCTGGGTGTCTCTTCTTCGTCTATGAACTCTGTCACCAGCAGAGAACATCCAGACAACTCTCGACGTGTGCATTCTCTGATATACACAGGAAATTCAACAGCGAAGAAGCTGAAGAACTTAAATATACAATATTGAAGAGAGGACCAGACCCATCGAATCATTGTAGAAGTTGCTTCTTGTAATCGACTGACAGGAGCGTCGGCGCGGTGCGCCAGCGCTGGAAGCCCTGGCGTTATGAGCATATCGACATTTAGAATCAAATTAATCAAGTAGTGTTCACTACGGTAAAAAATTGTTTACTGTAGAATGGTACGCTAGGGGTTTACTATATAGGTGTAAACTAACCTCGTGTATACCTGTAAATAGGTTTAAAGTAGTGGTTTACTTTTATAGTAGGGGTTTAAATTAAGTATAAAAAGTAGTTTTATTTCTATTATATGCTATAATACCTAACTAAGACTAAAAGGGGTAGAAAAGATTAGCTCTACGCTATACGCACATATGACATAATAATGAGTCATGATATTTTTACTAATAGGAGGTGGTGATAATAGAGGTGGTGGAGGTGGTGATTAGAGGTGGTGGAGGTGGTGGTAGAGGTAGTGGTGGTAGAGGTGGTGATAGAGGTGGTGGTAGAGGTGGTGGTAGAGGTGGTGGTAGAGGTGGTGGTAGAGGTGGTGGTAGAGGTGGTGGTAGAGGTGGTGAAGAAGATTAAAGAAAGGAGGGGTAAAATACTTAAATAGTAGGAAACTAGGTATTACTACGTAATACTAGTAGATTAATAGAAGTAGAAATATAAGTAGTTTACTTTTATAGAATACATAGTATAATAAACCCTATTTAGGTTTACTTCTTCTACCTAAACTACTTCTTAGTCTACTTTAGATAAATATAGCTACTGTAAACCGGTTTTGTACCGTAGTGGTTGTAGATCCTTCTATACGGTTGTTCTCACGTACTGTAAAGCAATGCTCCAAACGCAACCAGTAGACTGCGCACAATGGACATGCCCAAGAACGGCGTCCATATTTTCACTTGCGATGGCGGAATTGAAGAGAAGGGATGCTGGGTTTGGGGTTATGTGGTAGGAGTCGGAGGGTGCCAGTAGACTGCCGGGGGATGTTGACCCAGGGATCCAAAGATGGGGGTTCGGCGATTGGGTATCAGCATGAGCATGGGCATGAGGATCATATAGTGACTGTTCCTTCCTGGTAAGAAGCAGTCGAAATGACCAGTGCGGACAAGTGGCTCGACCTAGCACCCGGACACCTCAAAACGCCACCATCTTCGCGGCCAATGTGTTGACCAACAACCTCCTGTTCGAGGACTGGGCACAATACTTCCCGTTCGCAATGTCGTCCATGCGTAACGCGCTGGATCTCTGGATCTGGCCAGACCCGCGGCTTCGCATCGTCATGTACTTGCCTGCCGCTTACGCATGGGTTTCCGTTCCAGGTGTTAAGATATACAGGACATGACTGGAGAGAACCACGCAGGGTTTTGAACTGGGTAATTGGAAACCTTGGAAAAAAGGGGCAGAGGATATCGCGGTGCATCTGGATGTTCATTGGACAATGCGAGATGCTGCACGTGATATGGTGATATGAATGTCTGCGCTGGGCAGGAAGAAGGATTCCGTGAGCTTTTTGGACCATATTCTGGGTGCGCGATTAGATATTACTTGTATTGAAGTCGTTCATATATATGTTATTACTTTTGATGTTCAGATCCCTGTGTATCTTCAATTTTGCCTCATAATTCATCTCGATAAACTCGGTCATATCGTGTAGTCTTCCTTGCCCTAGGGATATGTATGCAGAAATACGATGCAGCGTGGAGCTCAACTGAGTCAGATCAGTCGTGATATCTCGACTCCAAAGTACTTCCCGTAGGAAATCACTGGACCACTGCCCCAGAGCAGAATGCTCCAAGCGCGGCTGTCAAAAGGTTACATGCCAGCATCCCCATCCTCCTGGAATCCCTAGCCCGCAGAAAACTGAGGGTTTGGTACTCCGTTTGTAACGAGTCCCTGTGAAATGGAGAGCACGTCATGGCGGGAATGCGGGATCAAGCGCCGTAGAATTCTACTTCGAGGTCCCCTATCAGGGCTATGGTGAAAAAACAGCTGGCCTGTTAAGAAGAGACTGAGGGCTTATAGAACCATACAACATCGTAAGGTCGTCAATTGCATTGAGCGTAAAATCGCCATGTTGTTGTGGAGAAAATGTATAAGTGGTTCATGTCTGGCATGCTGTACAAGTTTTGCACTCGTAATGCTCTGCGAAACCAGGGAATCGTTGGACCATGACACAAGCAGTTAGTATTACTGTGCTGGGAGAGAGCAGCTCCGTTCCAAATTTGATGCAGGACCACAATTCAGGACCTATATGGCTTTGTTTGCTGAAAAATAGAGAAACATGTGTCTGTACCCAATGCCCTCTAGTGGTACTGTACCGATACCTGCGCTGGATCATCGAATCATCAAAGCCAATATCATAAGTGGCTTTTCTTTAGCGCGGTGTAGGAGATCCCTGGAAATCATCTGGTGGCCGCAGGAGATCAAATCTTGCTACGCAAGGAGCATCTGGAAATAGCTCATTGAGGAATATTTGGCCATCTCATCGGTTCGAGAAGGAAGAATATCATCAATGCCTGCACTTGAAGATAGGTATTGTGTTCGACGTCTGATTGGAAACCCGATAGAACAGATGCCTTTCGGGGATGTTCGGGTGACCCGAGCCGTCAACTCTAAGTCATTACCCTTCACCGCCACATTCACCGCGCTTGTGTAAAACTCTCAACACCTTCAGCTAGGGAGAACCTGCCGAGCTTGACTTCCGTCCCATATGGCCGCGCCCCATGCGTCACTATTCGGCTGAATGGGCAGGAGATTATCTCGTGGTATCCGGAACTCTTTGTCACTCGCTACTGTAGGGGTTGGCGAGGGTATAATTGGCGTTCTGATCATCGCTGGATCATCTGATGTCCCACCTCCAACCAAGAATGGCACTGGATTAGGACTCGGCTGCTCTCTGCTTCGAACCCTCGTCAAAGCCTTGCGGAAAAGTGGTCGTAAAAACGGCAGTGAAGCTGCACAGATACCGGTATGCTGCTCTACTTGACTCCACAGGAGAAGGTTCGCAGTATTTTCGCCCTGATTCTTGAAGTCGCTGAGCCAGAGGACCATAGTGCGAAGCCGAACAGCGGAAGCTATGATAGCTGTGAGACCGACTGAGAAAATAGCAAGGAGTTCTATGCGACGCCTCAGGGGCATAGATTGCAGGTTCAAAAGGAATAGTATCGGCAGCGTCCAGATCATAGCATCGGTGACGAGGTTGTATCCAGCGTTAAACAGCCAGAAGGGTCCCGGATTGTAGCATTGCGTTGCATGAATGCCATCGATTCCTCGCTCAAAAACTTCAAATGACCATGCATCCGAGATTGGGTAGCAGTTGAAGACCGCAGCGAAAATCATCGAAAGACCGCCGAGTAAGATGACAGCGAACAGTATACGGACTACGCCGTGAAAATGTTTATTCGAAGCTGCAATATGGCTATAGACTGTGCAAATGCAAAGTCAGTAATGCACTCCGATGATCAAGTACATGCCTCGACGTATCAGCATCGACCCCTCTCAGACTCGAGCTAGTTAGAAATGGCTGCTTTGCGGAGACAAATTACAGTCGTGCCATTGATCGAAGGGCTACCTGGGTACGTACAGAGCAGGATAGACGTCTTTATAAGGCACAGGTCGAGGATATAGGTCACTCGGTAGACCCAGAATGACAGGAGCGAGCCAGTCGCAACCTTCGCAAAGGAATCTCTATCCTATACATGATCAGTAAAATACATTGCTGAAGTTTATCGTCATCCCAAACGTACATGGACCTGAGTATAGTCCAGGAAGTGTACCATGTACCAATTGACGACTACTGAACCCCACGTACAAATCTGGTTAGGAGGTGGTCAGCAATGTGGCTAGCGAAGGTCAAAAAATCAGCACACACCAGCGCAATGAACATGACCCAATCTGAGGAGCTAAGCTTCCCGACCAGAAAGTGGCGGCTGTAGAATCTCAGAGCTACCACACATGTTGATATTCCCGTGAGCACGAAAGCGAGGATGTTGGACAATTTTGCATGGGGAGCCATCTCATCCAAGTTCAACAGCCACTCGGGGCACCTTTGATGGAAACAGAGTTATATCGTCATTCGGACATGATCTTTCTTGGGATGAACGTGAACAGGTGGATCGGGGGTTCTTAGAAGCTGTGCGACGAGCGCAAGTTACATATGGCCGCTTGTGAAACCTTTAAACGGCAGATCGCTGAGGGCCAAGCGAAAGGATGCAGGCTGAAGGATCTCGAACGCAATTCATCCACGGCCAGCAAGCTCCTTAGGGTTTGGGGTCAGGAGAAGCCTGTCCTGAAGGAGGGGATCTGCAACTCTGGCACCGGAAATGTGGATCAGAATCTGAGGGAATGATGGCAACTGTCCACGTTCCCAGCAGCGTGTAGATGAAGCTTGAGGCAGCCTACTGCGCTTCGTCTAGTTTCCCCGCGTTGTACGACATGGCCATGCAAGGTGATATGCGTCTTGCTTATTGGAACTGTGAGGTTGGCAAGGATGTGGAAAAATACATGCTGCGCTTGGACTGACACATCTGAGACGGGCTCAGAGGTCCAATACGCTTGTGGACAATTATGACGTTCTCGCACAGTCACTGGATTGGTGTTTCAGCCCCCCCAGCTCTGACCTCCATGCTGTCAGCCATGCTTTCAGGATCCTTTGACTGTTTGCACATTGGGCGCGTGGCGTCGCTCGAGGTAGATCAAAATTTGGCGCAGCCACGGGATTGACTGAGGAGAGCATTCGCTTTTATGGCTGGATAGGTAAGTCAGAACTTCATGCCGCAACTACCATGGTGGTGTCATCTGCATAGACGCCGTGTGAACCATGCAATATCGTAACCCGAAGGTATTCGCAAGTCCATGGGTAAGTGCAAACTACCGGCCGCTCCGGCAAATATGGGGGAGGGCTAGTGGTTGCGGGGGAAGCAATATGCAGTAAATAAGCGCGCGTCCAGCGGTGCGATACGGGCCAGGATTTGGCAAGCAGAAGGAGAAGTGGCGTAGTTAGCTATCCACATAGTATGTATGTAATACTTTTAATATGAGCATGTGACTCTTGAGCAAGTCTCCACAGTGTAGTGTTCACTGTCACTGTCTTCAGGCCTGCCTACTCAGGAAGACGCTAGGGATCTGGAGCCGGGTGCCGCGGCTTACCGTATGTAGAGTAGTGGCTTGGCTCCCTCTGGCCACCGACCCGAGGCGTTGCGATTGGCTGATTTGTTGTTTCCTAATCGGGATTAGCTCCCGTCGCATCGTTGCTTTCGCAGCTTCGTAAGTACCTACACAGCTTCCTAACTTCCTCGACTTACTCGTACAACTGACCTAGTCCCCGTCGTGCCTTTCATGTTCACCTTTCCGACAGCGTGATAGTTAGCTCACCTTGCCTGTCGTCCACATGGCGTTCAAATTCTCACTAGGCGCTGCAAAAGTCAGCAAGGCGCAACCACTGAACGCCAAAGCCAAAGAACTCGAGGACGAGGCCAAGGCGCGCGAAGACCAACATGCGCTCGACAAGGTCATGGCCGATTTCATGGAGGAACACGGGTCGGAGAAGAACGTCTTAGGCGCATCGGAGCAAGAGAAGCCGGATGAAGATGTCTTTGTGCCAACGGGCAGCAAGCGACACTTCACAGGACGCTCGAGGACGATGAAGAGCGGCCCAGGCACACTCGATTCCCAGCCGGTCGATGGCTACTCCAGGACTCCAGCAACCTTGAGCCGGCTTCAGCAATCGACACAGTCAGGGTTTGGTGCCTCTGTACCTACAGCACCCGCCGCTCTCGATAGCCACAAGCCGTCAGAAGAAAATATCTTCACGACTGTTGTTGCCAAGGCCTCGAACCTGCCTCCTACAATGGACCCGCAACAGGTCGAAGCCCTGTTCGCCGACTTCCCCTCACTCAAGGTCACAAAGGTAGAGAAGATACCGCCGCAGGGGCCATCTCCAAAGGGAAGGCCCTCCGCAACCATGAAGGTCACATTCGACAAGGAGGCGAGCGCACGCGACTTGGACGAAGCCATGAATCGCCTGAATGATAAAAAGTACCTTGGACGGGGATACTACTTGCATCTCGACCGATATCTTGGTGGACGTTCGGTGGACACTGCACAACGCACAGAGGCTTTCGGCGCACGCTGGCAGGCACCAGAGGTTCCCAAGGGCTTCGCGCCGCCGCCAGATCTGGGAGGAGGCAGCAGAGATCGCCCCCGCGAAGATACTGAGCAATTGATCATCACGGCAAATCAACCTCCAGACGCTGCGACGCTGCGACTGGTACATCAAACCATCGAGGGTGTTATACTCGGTGGTGTGGAATTCGAAGCTGCACTAATGAACGACCCACAAGTACAAGAGGAAGAGCGTTTTGCATGGCTTTATGATCAGAAACATCCGGTCAACCGCTATTATCGATGGCGATTACACCAAATAGTCTGCGATAGTCCAGATCCCGAGATATTCGCTCATCATGGCGATTGGCAAGGCCCTGTCGATCCGCTTGCAGACGAGTTTGCCGATCATTTGGGCGCTTTTGACGAGGCTGACGAAGAGGAAGACAGCGACGACGAGGAAGAGAAGGAAAAGCCCGTGTTCAAAGCCCTCCCGGTAGGCGACAATTACCCTGGGCGGGTTGACAACGGCCACGGTATCATGTCTCCTCGATCACGAGCCATGTTGCTTTGGCTTCTCACAACATTGCCCCCCGGTAGCATTGTCGCCGACGACATCGCCGCCATATCTGTCTTCGCTGTAGAACACGCAGCCCAAGGCATGGATGAAGTCGTTCACATCCTCATCTCCAACATCATCGCTCCCTTCCAACTCACCGATGCCAACCCCCGAAACCGCCCTGTCGATACCGAAGCGCCCAAAGACGACCTCCGTCGCCCCGATGTTCGACAAGTTACTCTCAATGCACTGCGTATCATCTCGGATGTGCTCCTCGTCACAGCAAAAGAATCGGGTGTTTCATACAAGTATCGCCTTGCCATTGGAATACAACTTGTCGAGCGCAAAGTGTTTGAGCATTTGGAGAAGTTACCTGTCAGATTGGACATGGGACGCATGACGGAGAGGAGTTATAGAGATGAGGTTAATGTGATATTGAAGGTTTGGCAAGACGAGCATTTGTTCGAGCAGAATGTGCTGGATCAGTTGGACGAGGCGTTCAATGCGAAGGAAAGGGCAAAAGAGGCAGAGGAGCAGGCGAGAAGGATGGTAGAGCGAAGGAAAAAGAAGGCAGCTATCGTGAAGAAGCCAGTAACAAAAGACAGAGATTTGGAGGTAGGCAAGGCTGGGGAAGAAGAGGATGAAGACATGGATCTGGATGATGATCAAGGCGACAATGCAGACGAGGCAAAAGAGCCGTCTCAGATCGCCACACCTGACCGTGCCGCGAGCAAGGATGAAGTCGCGGGGCCAGAGGCAGAAGAAAAGCATGTAGAACAGGCTAAACCGGTAGCTCCTGTCGTAGAAGAGATACCAGGGGAGACGGCAGCCGCAAGAGCAAAGAGATTGAGGCCGAAAGCGGAAGATATGTTTGCTTCTGATGGCGAGGAGTAGGATGGCGTTTATGATACCCTGGATTACGGTAACAAACATGTGTCGACAAGTAGCATGGAGTTGGGCGCGCATTTGCAGTTGGAATCGGATGATTTGGCAATCATCAATTGCAGTCAGTGCCTGGATACTTGAAAGAGTTGATACAGAAAACGCAATCGTGTTTTCGCTTTTGGCTTTGGTTCATTGAAAGCGAGCCTCGATGGTCGTGAGGCTACCGGAGGTGCAGACAATTTGCCCCATGTTCTCTTTTGCATGTACACATTGGACTGGAATGCAAGCAAGTGATGAAACTGCAGGACATGGCTATCACTGGCCAGTACCTAGTTTGTTCTTGTAATGTTGCCCCATGTCTGAGATGCGAGACAATCGAGGAAGGTTCTCGGAGCGGTAGGCCAAATGAACAATGCCTGGCCGATGCGCTCGTAGGTACTCCCCTTCCCTCCCTCTTGTCTAAGAACAGGCGGTCGGGTGAGATGGACCCTGGCGCCATGAAGTCATAAACAAGACTTGATGACCCCGCGTGTGCTGAATCAACAATTCCCCCATCTGCCCCGGCCACACATCTCAAGGGGGCACCGAAAGAACACTGAAGCGGATTTGGGGTTTCTCTCTCTTTTTTTTTTCTTGCGGTGTAGTAGCGCGACCGGGCTCGCGACTGTCGAAGCTACTGATCAGGTGCCATCGCCCTCATTGGCCCCAAGCTACCCCCATCGACTCCGCCTAAGCTACGGTAAGGAACATCTACACGCCCTCACAATAACTTGCCGCCAAAAATCTGCTCAGCTTTCTCGCGCTGTTGCCCTCTTGGCGAAGCGTTTGTTCACGGCAGACACTCTCGCCTTCGTGACCTGGCCATTGTGCGGACTGTAGTACCACGGCCGCTCACCATCCTCCTCTGACGGGCCTTTGCTTGTCCCTGAACAACCCCCCCTTCCTCTTCCTCCTCCTTCTCCCCCCCTAAGAGGATAGCCTTCGCTCTTTCGCGCTGCTACGCACCATGCCAACCTTTCTCGGACTTGCGGTGTCTCTGCACTCGCCAGAGGGGCCCCTGCCCGAATACGGGCTGCAGAAACAATCCAAATTCCACCGAATTACGTCGTACATTCCCGTCCCGCCAGCCAAAATCCCACCAGGCGGCACCAAGCCTGAGCAGTCGACATTCGCCATATCCATCACCCTCCTCACCCCAGGCCTCCACGTGCCGTACTCGACGCCCAAGCCGACGCCCGAAGAGCCCAATCCCAAGCCCAAGGTGGTCGGCGGTCTGCCTGGCTTCCCAAGCGAGCGGGGCAAAAACGGTCCCACCATCGCTCCCTACAAGCCCCTCACCACCTCGCCCAACGAGACAATCGCAGCCTACATATACTTCGACGGCCGTGCAAAGGAGGAGGTCGCCACATTGCTGCGGCGCGGCGAGGAGACGTGGGTCAATTCGCGATGGGTCAGCGTGCCTGAATCCGAAGGCGGCGGCCTGGCAGAGCGCGAATTTCTCTTCCGCGAGGTCGGTCTGGAGCGCTGGCTGAACGGCCTAGACCTGGAGGGCAAGGACAAGGACGTAGCCGCCAAGATTGAGCGGAGAAAGCAGCGTCTGGAGAAAAAGCGAAGGAAGCGGAGAGAGGCGCGCGTTGGCAGCAGCGACGAGGAAGATGTCAAGGAGTCGCGGAACGGTGTGCTGCGCTACAGCGATAGCAAAGACGCGCCCGTCGAAACACTGCCAGGGAACGACGAGTTCTTCACAACCGACTCGGACTCGGAAGATGAGCCCCCGGTACCCGAGGCTGCAGGGCAGATCAAGGTCGCCTTGTTCCGCGTTCTGGCTTCTGGTGAAATCAAACGCGGCGAGTATAGCCCGCAGTTCGACGCCCACGACGATGACGAGCAGAATGGTGGTGGCGACGGTGAAGATATTGACCACACCACCAGCTTTGCAAAGCCCAAGACACTGGATCCCAAGTCCATCAGCACACAGACTGTAACTGGCATAGATCCGCCAGACAAGCCGTATGCTGTTTTCACTTTCTTGTACCGTGGAGAGCGTATGTCCTCCTTGCACTGGCTTTGACTCAACTCTCTACTAATTTCAGACAGGCCAATTGCGCAAAATGGGCATCATCGAGTCCCCCAAAACTCCCCAAGTGACTTCACCCGTTAACCGACGAAAATCGGGCGCACTCGACTTTGGTAGCCTCAAGCCGCTTGATGCAGCCGCGGGTACTAAGAACTTCGGTGGTTATCGCGAGAGATCACCCAAGTCCAAACTGAAAACTGAAGAGGACATGGACAGCGACGCTGATGATGAGGATGACATCAAGGTGGAGGACATTGACGACGACAAAGACGACACTGGCAAAGGCTTGTTATCTCCCGAGGATATCTACAGGCAGGGTGAACTTGCAGATGGCGTGAGAAAAATCAAGGTATTTCAAAAACTTGACATTGCAGCATTCGTATTGACAGTTCTCTAGCTCAAACGCCAACACTCTGCCGAACCTTTAGGCCGAGCAACCGCATCCATCAATGCAGACGATTCTGCATCTCCCCTATCTGGTACACCTGCTCCCGGTGCCTCATCACAGGGCGAAGCCTCTTCCTCGACAGTAGAGAAGCCATCCGCCCAACTCACAAACGAAAGCTCTATTGCCTCACCCTACAAGAAGCACCGAGCCTCTCTCCCCGGCTTCGAAGACACGGTCCGCAAGAGCCTCGGCGCAACCGTCCTCAGTGCCCAAAAAGAGCGAGGAAACTCAGACGGTAACATCCCCTCCACGATCGAAGCCAGGATGGAAGAAGACGAGGAGTTGTGACTCCGTGCAGTGCGTCCAGGGAGCAGTTTGGACGCCCAGCAGACCTTGTCACGGGGTCTTCACTTTGCATGAAACGATAATTCAACGGCCGCCACTTTTTACGATTCTGGAAGAGACGTAGCCATCACAGCATGGCTGTGCTCTTATTTGGGTATGAGACCCGTTGCATACGTACCAATTACGCCACTATACCGCGCAAGTAACAGAAGCAAGCATCTTCGCGTGTCTGACACCACCTGTTCCGCATCCTACTACATGGATGCTTTTGGAAGAAAATCTGGGAAGGGGAGATTTGGCTAGTTAGGGGCTTGAATATGCAATGCCAATACTAACACCTTTGTTACGACTGACTCTTTTTGATGGCTTGGTCGAGGGCTGGCCTGCCTGTCTGTATATCTCTAATTGTCTCGTATGTTCAGGCTTCGACTTGGCAAAAGCTATGGCAGTTGAATGGAGCGTTTCCTTGTTCGGGGAAAGGGGAATAGCGAGCTGCTATATAGCTGCTGAAGCTTGCAGAATACAGATGCATGTGTCATTGAAGAGTGCGGCCGATTAGCAAGACCTGTAGTATCTCCCGGCTAGCGAATAGACTTGTTACCTTGTGAACTCGGAACACGTCATTACAGCTCCATGACCCTCTCACCACGGGAAACGCATACTGCGCCCGTCGTTTCTCTCGCCAGGAATCGAATCGAATCTAATCCATCTTATCACCCAAGAGATCTTCCAATTCCTCCAACGACGCTATGCTCTCCACCCCTCCGTCATCCGCCTCTGGCCTCGCCTCCGCCTCTCGAGCTAAATGCACACCCCTCCAGCCCGCCCTCTTCGCCGCATGGGCGTCTTTTTTGACGTCGTTTCCAACGTGAACGTAGTCGATTTCACGGTCTGCACACTGCTCTTTTTTGCTTGCTTGTTTGCGTTCCTCGCAAACGTGGAGGGCGCAATTGCGCGCGAGGGAAAAGATGCCGGCGCTGGGCTTTTCTTGGAGGGCATCGGAGCTGAGGATGACGAAGTCGAAGTCATACGGATTTTCTGGTGGATCTGGGTCTGATTTGTTTGCCTGGTTGGGGGTTGTTGGGTTTTGCAAGGCAGGTTTCGTTGTGTCTCCCCGATCAACTTCCTCTCTCTCTTCCCGATTCATCCCATGCCACGCACGATAAGGACCAACCTCGAGTCCCAACCCGGTCAGCAGCCCCGGCAGCCGTGCATCGAAATTCGAAATGATACCCACGGTCACAGTCTGATAGCCTGAGAAACTGCCCGGTTTGGATTTTGCTGTGCGCAGGCGCTTCATCAGGGGCATGACATCTGGGAACAGCGTGTAATTTTCGGCCGAGGAGAAGTGCTCCCAGACATTTTTTACGAGGACGTCGGGTATGCATTCATTGCTGTCGTCGGTATGCCAGGGTGAAAACGTGTTGTGGATGACAGATGTCCACCACTGGAAATCGTTGTTGCAATGTGGGCGTCCGTACAGCGGGGATCGCTGGCATTGTGATTTAAAAGCTTTTATGAAACTATGCCCAACAGACTCCTGGGTCTTGGGGTCTTCTGGGTCGCCGCAGTTTATGCCGTATTTGGCGCCGTATTGGGCATAGACGTGGGGCACGCGCTGTTTAGGTGTGAAGAGGGTGTCGAGGGCGTCCAAGGTCAGGAAGAGGTGTTTGGAGTTTGGTTTAGAGAGTGAAGTCCATGTGCTGGTTGCGCCTGTCGTGATGCCTCTTGAGCCCATTAGGGCCATTTTTTGGAGGGTGGGGGGTTTTTTTTTTAAGTTTTTTTGCGTATGCTAATGGGGGTTCTTTGCTGGTGCTATGATGTCGAATGTAGAATTGATGGATGGAAAGCTTAAAGCGGACTAGTTTTGGGGTCGTTGCTGCTCGCTGCGGACACGTCCGCGGTTGTCCCTGGGGTCCGAGAACGTTTACCTTGACTTCACCTCACCCTTGCCTTGCACACCCCACACCAACCCGATAATCACCCAACTGCAGTCCTTCTTTTTGAACACGCAAATCCGAAGGGAAGAGACGACAAGAAGAGAAAGTCTGATTATGGCGCCAATTGAGAAGAAGAACAAGTACTCGGTGCTGCTGCCGACATACAATGAGCGTCGCAACCTCCCTATAATCACATGGTTGCTGAACAAGACATTCACCGACCCAATCGAAAGGGCCTTCCACAAT